AGTCAGTCAGTCAGTCAGTCAGTCAGTCAGTCAGTCAGTCAGTCAGTCAGTCAGTCAGTCAGTCAGTCAGTCAGTCAGTCAGTCAGTCAGTCAGTCAGTCAGTCAGTCAGTCAGTCAGTCAGTCAGTCAGTCAGTCAGTCAGTCAGTCAGTCAGTCAGTCAGTCAGTCAGTCAGTCAGTCAGTCAGTCAGTCAGTCAGTCAGTCAGTCAGTCAGTCAGTCAGTCAGTCAGTCAGTCAGTCAGTCAGTCAGTCAGTCAGTCAGTCAGTCAGTCAGTCAGTCAGTCAGTCAGTCAGTCAGTCAGTCAGTCAGTCAGTCAGTCAGTCAGTCAGTCAGTCAGTCAGTCAGTCAGTCAGTCAGTCAGTCAGTCAGTCAGTCAGTCAGTCAGTCAGTCAGTCAGTCAGTCAGTCAGTCAGTCAGTCAGTCAGTCAGTCAGTCAGTCAGTCAGTCAGTCAGTCAGTCAGTCAGTCAGTCAGTCAGTCAGTCAGTCAGTCAGTCAGTCAGTCAGTCAGTCAGTCAGTCAGTCAGTCAGTCAGTCAGTCAGTCAGTCAGTCAGTCAGTCAGTCAGTCAGTCAGTCAGTCAGTCAGTCAGTCAGTCAGTCAGTCAGTCAGTCAGTCAGTCAGTCAGTCAGTCAGTCAGTCAGTCAGTCAGTCAGTCAGTCAGTCAGTCAGTCAGTCAGTCAGTCAGTCAGTCAGTCAGTCAGTCAGTCAGTCAGTCAGTCAGTCAGTCAGTCAGTCAGTCAGTCAGTCAGTCAGTCAGTCAGTCAGTCAGTCAGTCAGTCAGTCAGTCAGTCAGTCAGTCAGTCAGTCAGTCAGTCAGTCAGTCAGTCAGTCAGTCAGTCAGTCAGTCAGTCAGTCAGTCAGTCAGTCAGTCAGTCAGTCAGTCAGTCAGTCAGTCAGTCAGTCAGTCAGTCAGTCAGTCAGTCAGTCAGTCAGTCAGTCAGTCAGTCAGTCAGTCAGTCAGTCAGTCAGTCAGTCAGTCAGTCAGTCAGTCAGTCAGTCAGTCAGTCAGTCAGTCAGTCAGTCAGTCAGTCAAGCATGGCAGAATACAGCATTATACTATTATAACAGATAATGCTGTATCCTGTTAGTGTAAACTTTTGTTGGTGGAAGTTGATGATGTCATCAGTTGGTACTGGCAATTCAGTCAGTCAGTCAATCAATCTTTTATTGTGCTGTCATAGACCCGATAAAAGAGACACTGTACATCAAGTAAGACAGTATCAGTAAGGGATAAAAATCACCATTACAGTTAGCAGAGAGAATAATCTTGCATGTTCTTTGATCTGAGAAGAACATGGCCACTACTTGTATGGCTGGCTTGCTGGAATTGGCCTGAAAGTATTAAAATTTAATGTAAATTAATTAGAAACTTCGTATCTCACCATTTCAGGTTCTGAAGCTCCCTGAGCTCCTTTTTGCCCTGGGGAGGAGTTTGAGAGCCTTGGGATTGGGAAGGGAGCCTTTAATAATCTAATCTAATCTAATCTAATCTTAAAATTTGCAGAGTTGAAAGGGATCCTATGGGTCGACTTCTGTCCCTGTCAAGCAATCAAATTGGGGAATCAAACTTCCATGCCAAAACTACTGAGCTATGCAGCAGTTCATAGCCAAAATATTGCCACCAGATCCACTGCTGTCCGGATCAGGACCATCACTGGAAATTCAATGGCACATTTTGGCTATTAAAGGCTTCCTAGCCCAAGGCACCCAAAAGGCTTCCCTGGGCAAAAGGGAGACCTGGGAGCCTCAGAACAGGAAATGGGGTGATAAGAAAGTTTCAGTTAACTTAAATCTTTACTGGTATCCACTTCTGCCAACGTAAATATATGCAATAGGAATCTGGGATTCGAATTCCAATTTTAAGTGTTTATAGATCAATTTTTAGCCCATTGCAGCTCTCGGCTCATTACTTGCAATTATTTTCTTTTTCCAGTAACTAAGGTATCATTGCATTAGCATTGTAACTTTGCTTTTTTCATGGAATCTCATGTCTAGGTTATGAGGAAGATCTCACAAAATGTTGGCAAAAGCGTATCTGCAGTTCAAAGGCAGGCTTATGCTGAAATGCCTCCTCATTCTCCACTGTGGGCGTTGAGGCAATAAAGAGATGGACAGAAGGAGAGCGTAACATGCATCATTCAGATTTTTAAACTGAAGTTGTAGAGAGAAAAAGGAAATTAAGAGTTTGATGGTGCTGGTTATGGTGTGGCCCACTGGAGGTTAGGTCATGCCCCTCGGGCCCTGTCCACTCGCTGAAGACAAGTTTGTCTGGGAGCCTTACATTTTCTTCTACCTCTGTCAGGAGGTCATCTGAGTAAAGCAAACCTTGCTTCAGTGGCATTATTATTTTCTTCGTAGCTGCTGTGATGCCCTTTAATTGAGGGTATGTGAGCAGGGGGAATAACAATGTCACTCATGGACAATGACTCTATTGTTTCCTTCTGCCTGCAGTTGGTTGGCAAAAGCTTTCTGAGTTGAGGGGCAAGGAAGGGACCACACCGAACAGTTGCAACGGAAATGCCATCTCTGCATGCATGAAGTGTCAGCTCAAAGTAGCGTTTAGGGCTGATTTACATGTGATGTCTCAAAACAGGGAGATAGTCTCTGTCTAAGGGGAAGATATGTGCACAGGGTATTGTGTGGGTGACTATTACGCTGCAGTGGGATGCCTTGTTTTACTGGCTAGTATGTGGAATTGTAGCAAAATTGAGCTCCTGCATGCAATCTTCAACCACTTCCATTTATTTTCCCGTTGTGTGCAGAGATTATTTGCATTGGAAAAACCTGTATCTGAAACTGCCCTCTTGCCCATCCCTCTGCCAGACCCAAAGGTGTATGTCCTTCTGGTAGCAACTGAAAGAAAATATTTATTTTCCCGTTGTGTGCAGAGATTATCTGCATTGGAGAAACCTGTATCTGAAACTGCCCCCTTGCCCATCCCAAAGGTCTATGTCCTTCTGGTAGCAGCTGAAAGAAAACATTTGGCAAGTAGTCACTTGGATTATGGACTTTTCAGTTCTTTGCAAGTTGTATGTAGCCTTAGGGAGATATTTCATACCAACCTGAATGTCTTGGTGAAAGGAGGTGCATCTCTACCCAGTGCAATTGCTCATTTGCTTAAAGCAGGAGTGGCGCCCTCCAGATGTTTTGGACTATAACTCCCTTACCATTGGCCATCACGGTGAGAGGCTGAAGGGAGTTGTCTACCAAAACATCCAGAGGGCCAAGGGGTCTTTACCTCTGGCTTGGGAGCATAGCTTGACATGCCATTAATTGCACAAATGCAGGGAACCATGTATACTGCTGTTAAGGGCCACGGGGGTATCCTGAGCAGCCCCTAATAATGCTGGGAAGGTCAAGTCAGCCATTTATTTTCCTGCCCTCCTGAGCTTTTTGCGTTCAAAGGAAGCTTCCTTTGACACCAGTAGAGGGGGCTTCCTTTATCAAACAAATAGCTGCATCAGAGAAGCATGTTTCATAGTGCTTGGAAGTATTATGGTTTTAGGTGACAACACCCAGAATCCACTGGGCAGTGTTGCCAGGTTCTGAGACCATGGCATGATGCGGAGATGCATAGACTCTCCCTCACCCTTGCCCTTTCCTGTTCCCTGCTCCCCTCTCATCCCCCCCCCCAATACTCCGGCCATACAGTTCCAGGTATCCCCAGGCTTCCCTGCTGCTATTATTCCATGTAGCAGAAAATGGTGTGTACATTAATTATACCGTATTAATCAAAATTATGACCTTTATGTGTGATCCTCAAGATGTTTTGGACAGCATCTCCCATCAGCTTTGGCCGGTGGCAAAGAGGTGGTGGTGAGAGCTGCCATCCAGTAACATCAAGAAAGCCAGTTGTAGCTCTCCACTGTTTTAGAAGATGGCTAGCAAGATGCATGGATCTGCTTATGGCTGTAGAGCTTTCATACTCAAAGAGAGTCTACGTGTACTGATCTCTTAAGTATTGGGTGCAGGGTGTCAAAGAGGGTTAGGGTTAGGTTAGAAGTGCAGAGCTGGAAGGGACCCTATGGATCATTGAGTCCAGCTCCTATCAGAGAGGCACAGTGGGGAACTCACTGAGTCCAGCTCCTGTCAGAGAGGCACAGTCTCTGGCTCCACAGCCAGATACCTGAATCACTGAGCTATCCAGCAGTTGGTATTTGTTTGATCCTTTTTTGAATTTGTAAACGCCAGATACCTAAACCACAGTGCTATCCAGCAGTTGCTATTTGTTTGATCCTTTTTAGAATTTGTAAACATACTACCTGTAGCTTTAAATATTATCTTTTGATAACATAAGCTGGACCCTTTTTAAGGAGGAAGGTGGGGTAAAAATACTTTAAATAAATAAATAAATACATTTCCATAACCCTCCCTCCCTTTTTAAGGAGGAAGGTGGGGTAAAAATACTAATAAATAAATAAATAAATTTCCATAACCCTCCCTCCCCTCCCCAACTAAGGCTTCTAAGCGAGATAAAGGCCACTGAAGTGCCTTGTTTTTATAACTTTTTTTCCCTACTGGAAGTGTGCCACGCTGCGGAAATTCATGCTGGGTTTAGGTTGAGCAAAGAATACTCCATAGCAACTGGATTGTTCAGGGTGTTTTTTAAAAAGTTGGGCTAGTAACTCATCACATCTTTTCTCCGCTCTTGGCAGCTAGCCACCTGCTCAGTATTAGACCGTACCAAGTAGAGGGAGGGACTGAAGGGAGTGGGGGAAGAGAGAGAGAGAGAGAGAGAGACCCTGAAGTTTAATCATTGAACCAACCACACTGAATGGATTTAGCTTGCCGCTCTGGGGGGGAACTCTCAGATCTCTCCTGGAAATGGCACAGCTGATGAAGCTTTTCTCAGTTTATGACTACAATCTGGAGTGAATAGATCGCCACATTTCTGTCAACACTGAGCAGGCAACCCCAGAGAAGATGTTTGCGGTACACTTGGTGGCGTTTTATTTTACTAAGCTAAAAGAGGATCAGGTCAAAAAGGTAAGGTTTGATTGATTGTGTCAGAATCCCATTCCATGATGGCCTGTTTGAACAGAAAATTTGTTTAAAAACAAACGAACAGCAGATTTTTGTGCCAACCAAGCTAACAGCATATTCCTCCCAACGACTGGCACAAAGTTAGTTTTGTTTGACTGGTTGAAGGCTGAGAGCACTCTTGTTTATGGTAAATATGGGAGTTGTGTACGAGAGAAATCTTGGTGCAAGCACTGGCATAAACTTCAGAATCTATGATGACAAGGTATCTGCTAGAAAAATAGCTTTCAGAACAAATAAGGCACTTTTGCATTAATTGAATTGCCCAATGCTTGAGCTGTTTGCTTGGATTCTAAATTGTGTTTTAGTCTAACAGAGTAATTTTGACACAAATAATGGAGCCCTGTTAATGAGAGAGGAACGATGGCAGCTGAAGTTGGTATCTTTAACACAGTAGGACCAGCAAACTCTTATGAAGGGGTGACAGGACAGGCACAAATATTTTGCCTCACAATCCCTATTTCATTCGCGAAGGAGGGTTTAATGGTTGTTGTAGGTTTTTCGGGTTTGTTTGTATTTAACAGCCTTTTGCCACTGTGTGTCTCATTTGCAACTTTGCGTTTGAAAAATGACTCACAGAACTGAGGAACACTTTCTGTGAGGACAAACCAGTAAATATATTGCTATGAGCAAATTTTGGAAAGTTCTACTCTGAAAACAACAACAATTAATTGCTGTTGCCCACTATAATAACCTGTCATTGTTAACTCATGAACAAGGCTGGAAAAGAAAGCTGATGCATTCCTCATTCTGCTTCTCATGGCTTTTCGTTACTTCCCATCTCTTTAAAACTGGTAAGAGCAATTTGGTGAATCCTGGCAACCAATTTTCTGCCTCCGAGGCCCTTGGAGACTGTGCAAAATTCCACAAAAATGCAAAAAATCAAAGTTTGCTTCAAGTTTTTAAAAGCAGCCATTTTGTGGTGTTAAAGTAGGGGAACCCCATGATATATTTAAGAAGTTGATTGCCATCTATTGAGGTTTCTGGGGGTCAGAATTCACTTTTTCTACTAGAAAAAGAGGACTGGGGACACAGAAACAGCCTTGTAGGAATACATGTAGCCCCATATTGAAATATTCATCTTTCTCAGAAACCTCAAGGTTAAAATTACTGCTGAGCAGCCTCAGTAAAAATTAGGTTGTATACGTGGTAAAGTTTTGTTCTAATATGTTTTTAAACTCTAAAATATGACATAGTGTGTAGCCTATGGGCTATTCAACCTAAATAAACTTGAACTTACAGCCCCAGAGCAGCACTTTGCCCATCAGTGAATGAGAAAATGGAATAATGTTTGAAAAATTCCCTTTAAAGTCCCTTAGAATGCCTTTTAAATGTAACTTTTGAAAGTGACTAGGAGCTGTTGCACTCATACAATAATACCAATAAAGTAATTTGGTCCTAGTAGTTATATTTCTTTTGGAAGTTCATTACACCCTCATTACCCCTGATGTAACATAGTTATCTGTAACTCATTATTTCCAGGGTCTAGTCATGGGTTCAGCAAAATCCTTGTTTGCCGAAGAAAAGATGGCAGCTAACAGAACAACACCTTTGACAGTCAAATGCACCATAGTTCAATCAAATTAGAGATACTTTAGTCATATATTAAAAAACTGAGTGAGACTTTTCACTCAGTGCTTTCCTCAGTTTGTTCTCGCCTATTCTGGCTTTGACCATTGCTCTTTTCCTCCTCTACCTTTTCCTCTTTAGCCTCTTAGTCATTCTTTCACTGTCAGGATGGAATTCCTAGGGCTATGGTTAGATTGTCACGCATACACCTTAATCTCTGCTGAAGAAGGCAATTAAATGGAGCAATTTCATCACCTGGAAAAATGAGTCAACTGATCAGTGGAGGGAGCTGAGTTCTTACACAGAACATAGTTTTGCTTTTAGGTTTGTTTTTTTAAAAGAGATACAATCTCAGTCATTTACGTTTTTCCATTCTTCAGTAAGAATGGTTTGTTTCTTTCTACATGATTTTATTAAACTCTTTCCCCAAGACGTTTAATGTACCATAGATAGAGATTGTCCCATACCTACACAAAAGCTGCCTGAGGCAGGCTAAACCGAAATAAGGACAAGCCCAAATACACAGAGCAAGCGTCAAGGCTCAAAGGTCAAATTCTACAGCTTACGTCTGATTTTCTGTTTGTTAGACAACACTGATTTTTCTTTTTACTACATAGGCATCTCACTGGTCTCTGTTCTGAGAGGCTTCCAATATTCTGCATGAGTACCAGGGAATAGCTAAGTCATCATTTTGATTTCCCACAATGCCCAAGAAGTGTTTTGGGACATAAGAATGATGCCTTCCAGATTTAACCTGTTCTCACTTTTCTTGTTGTTGTCTAACAAACAGAAAATCAGACGTAAGCTGTAGAATTTGACCTTTGAGCCTTGACGCTTGCTCTGTGTATTTGGGCTTGTCCTTATTTCAGTTTATTTCAGCTACAAACATGAATTTGACCCAACTTCGGGAAGCAGTGGAAGACAGGAGGGCCTGGCGTGCTCTGGTCCATGGGGTCATGAAGAGTCGGACACGACTAAACAACTAAACAACAAAAGGGCAGGGGATAGCTGTGGGATTGTGGGGTCTTGGGATCGTAGAAGCTGTTAGAGGGTGCTGAGCTGTCACAGATGAAAAGTAAAATGCTACTGAGATATTATCACGCACAAGTTTATGCCATTTAGCCATCATACGATCATGCTCTTTTAGTAAACATAAGCTCTGCTCAGATCTCAGGAGCATTGGGCAACAGTTTCTATTTTTAAGGAAGCTTTAAAAAAAAACTGTTTTGGATCACAGTTCCAAAATCCAAAAATCTATGTTGAAAATATACTTCTACTCTGTACAAAAAAAATTTTTTAACGATTTTATTAATCAGTTGGTGCCCTTCTTCAGCCCTTATACAGTGGCAAGGAATCTGTTACATAGTTAGGCTGGCGTAAAGCCACTGGTATAAATTTTAGTGGTGAATTGCTGCAAGTTAAGAAGTTTGTCTAGGCATTTGTTATTAAACTCTAAGTCACAATTCTTTCTAGTTCTTTTTAGAAATTATTGAAACTTGGAGCCAACGCCAACATGCTTGCAGCAAACCTGGTTGTTGAATTGCTGCATGGGGTTGAAGCTGCAGCAATGGGATGACAGAGAGAGCAAATGTTCTGAGTCAGGAGCTGTGCTGCTGCTCCTTGTTCTGTCACTGTGCCCTCCCCATGGGTTCTGTCAGCATCCACTGCACCTTTCCTCATTGCTACTGGAGGGTCCTGCTCAGGGCTAAGCATAATCGAATCGGAGAATTACTCTAGGACAGTGATTCCCAATCTTGGGTAACCCAAGTGTTCTTGAACTGATATTCCCAGAAGCCTTCACCACCAACTGTTTTTAGCTGTTTTGTGTATGGTTTGTCCTAATGGATAAGGACAATTTGTGCTGGTATAGCTCATAGCCATATGAAGGCAAGAATATTTTTATTTCTTATAAATAAGAAATAAAATGTTAATATAATTTCTAACATATAAGGTATAACATAGCCTTCCCCATACTTTTGCTGTACAGAGGTTCTGCATGGCAACTTCAATTGTGCTGATCTTGATAATAGTTGGGGTGAAGGGAATTGTAGTCTAAAGTAGGTAGAAAAAGGCTGGGAAATATTGGCATAAAGTAGAGCAATGTGGTGCTTCAAATAGGCTAAGCAAACCATAATAGTTTAAAGGAAAGTTTAAAACCAACTAGTGAGAAAAACAGCTTTATCCTGAATGGGCTCCTCATCCTTTTGCTGATCTACTGGTTAATAGCTGTTGTCTACTGATCCTTCTGGCAGGGAGAGCAAAGGATAGCCTAATTTGAGCCACTGAAAATGCAATCACATCACCTTCTCTAATCTGAGGAAGCAAAGGTCCAGGACATGCCCTCTAAAGAAGACAATGCAAATATTTGATCTTTGATAACAGGAAAGGGGGTTACACAAGGTTGGGAACCACTGCCTTAGGAGATAATCTGTGCTTCAGAAAGCCTCCAGACCGTCCTTCTGTCTCATCTGAGGAAGTCCTCAGAGTGAAACTTGTTCCATTGAGCATGATGAGTGGACTTTCTTCTGTACAATCCTTTTATCTCATCTTGTGGCCTTGTCTGTTGCTCTCTTTCTATGTGAACAGAATATTATTTATATGTTTTGTATAACAACAGCAACAAAGAACGGAGCTTTTTTTGTGCACCTCACTGGTGACTCACCTTCTGTGACTTTTGCTGGGAACAGGACAGGTGAAGCTGTCTGGCTCATCTGGTGTTTCTCCACTTCACTGGAGCCAGGCAGTGTGAGGAGACCCTTTTTTCTAGTGTGAGGACATGCAAGTCCCTTCTCATACTCTGCTGTCTGTGGCAGGGCATTCCATTTGCTTCAAAACGAACTAGCTCTAGAGTTAACCCTCAAGTCTAAACTGGGTTCTCCTCCACAGAGCAAAACAGACAGCATTCTATGGGGCCTGTGGAATTTACCTCATGCGGAGCAAAAATATCCCCAGAAACATAGTTCAAATATAAATCCTATCCTCACCCACCCTCATTGCTAGCACTATATTTTTTATAAACTACAGCATCTAAGGGGGAGAGGAAGATTCTTTCATTACCAGCTGGATCACTCAAAGTAGACTAGCAAGAAGAAAAGTGTTTAGGAGAGAAGAATATCTGAAAACAAGCAGGGATTATGGGGAGGGGGTAGTTTTAGCTCCCTTCACCATCCTTCTTTTGTCTTAAAATGATTCCCACACACTCTGCTCCACTTTAATTGGATCTGACCCAAGCTGTAACAAATGAGCCTGCTACTTGTTGCTGCCCTTTCTGGCTTTGGTTTAGGACTGGTTGTTTGCAGTATATTCAGAGTGGAATGGCTGAAGACCATAAATCTGAGACTTCCTTTCTGGATAACTCAAGAGAATAGTTAGCTGAT